AGCTCACCTACATTTATTTGATCTCATCTATTTTCTGTTAGTTTTATTAGTCTAACTCAGTGGTCGGCAAACTCATTAGTCAACAGAGCCAAATATCAACAGTACAACGATTGAAATTTCTTTTGAGAGCCAAATTTTTTAAACTTAAACTATATAGGTAGGTACATTGTTATTAACTTAATTAGGGTACTCCTAAGCTGGCCTTTGCTAAAAACGTCCTCAATCTGATTGAGGTACGTTCGCTGAGGTCGACCCCTTCCAACTCTCCCATCCATACTCGTCTTGTATACTTGTTTCAGATAGACGAGTGTGGATGGGAGAGTTGGAAGGGGTTGACCTCAGCGAACGTACCTCAAAACAATGTACCTCTCCCACGCTGTGTATCCCGTGGCCTGCCTACGCCTTGTCTCCTGTCGCCCGCCTGACCAACACCCCCCACTTCTTCTAACGCCACTTCTTCAAAATTAGAGTGTGGATGGGAGAGTTGGAAGGGGTTGACCTCAGCGAACGTACCTCAAAACAATGTAGCTCCCCCGCGCTGCGCATCCTGCTGCCGCCTGCGCCGCATCTCCCGTCGCCAGACCGACCGACCGATACCCCCCACTTCTTCTAATGCCACTTCTTCAAAATAGACTTGCCCAGGCCGAAAACCGACTTCTGCACATGGGCCACGAAGTTTCAATCACACTGTACGTGCGCGCCCGCACGTGGTATTTTGTGGAAGAGCCACACTCAAGGGGCCAAAGAGCCGCATGTGGCTCGTGAGCCGCGGTTTGCCGACCCCTGGTCTAACTCAATTCTGGAGGTGACTCATTCTGTATTCCATCTAAAGATCTGGCCAGTGTAGAGATAACTGTAGCAAATGAAAAAGATAGAAAAATGCAACTGGAAAACTTGGATGAATTAGGAAAACTGGTTCATAGGTCAACACTCAACCACTGAGTGACACCGGCCGGGCTGAACTTCATCGCTCTTTATGGGAAAATCCGATCCCCAGGTCTCATCGACCTTTAGGAATATATGTTTAATGCTGAGTTGGATGCTTCACCTGTGTGGCAAGTGACAAAGTCATGGTGAAAGCAGATAGGCCTCTTTATAATGCCCCCAAAGCTAGGCATGGGGGTTACAGAGCCAGGCCTGAAACTTTCTAACTGCACTTTGAGTAGCTCTGTCCCTCCTGGTCACAGATCTCCCCTGAAGTGGGTGTGGTAACTGCTATTAGTAGCCCCTTTCCTCTGGAGGGAGAGGCACTTGTATGTCTTGCTGTCCAATACTTTTTATTGGTAGGTCCATGTGCCCTAAAGAGTTATTATAACAAGGGAAGGACAAGGAGTAGGACTTAAAGCTGGAGCTAATGGAGCCCGGTGGATTATAATCCGGAATCAGTCAGAATGACTTGCCTCAGAGGGAGATATGGAGAGACCCAGCTGTGTAAAGAGAGAGCAGGGCCTCCATGGACACAGAGCTGCCTGGGAATGGAAGCTGGCAGCTTACGATGGGGCACGAAGGGACGTTTTTCAGAGGATGAAAGTCATTGCCAATCTGTCCCCAGACATCTCTCAAGGTCAAAGAGTCTCAGGTTCCTACTAAACATGTGGTGTTAAGATTCTGTCTTGAGTCTCCTCTGGAAAACTGATCTCCGGCGTGTCTATTCCCCACGGAAAACTCTCACCGGGTAACTGCAGGCAGATGGGAGGGTCAGAGGGAAAGCATCCACCTGCCCCTCTGCCCAGTCTCCCTGCCGTGGGAGGGACCTCCCAGGAAGTGGCACCACTCAGCAGGCTCCAGGCTTGGCAGCCAGATGCTATCTCTAGTTCACAGACAGAAAACTGAGGTGCAGAGAGGTTAAGGGATGATAATAACGCAGCTCCTACAGGGCAGAAATGGGAAAAAAAGAATCCTGGTCCCTTGATGCCTGTCTGTTTCTTCCAAAAGAGGGACAATGTCAACTTCCCTGGTGGCAGGGTGGGTGGAGAGAGGGAAGCAGGATGCTGCTTCATCCCAGGAAATGCACTCACCCACACACGTGTCGCCCAGCAGAGAGGAGACCAGCCACTGTCACCTCTACAACTGCTACACAGCACCAGCAGCTTCCACTCGGAGCAGTGTTTTCAGCCACTGCCACTTCTACAACTGCTTCTACACAGCACCAGCAGCTTCCACTCGGAGCAGTGTTTTCTCTTTTGGATTAGGTCCTAGTTGAGATAGACACGTTCTGCTTCCTCCTGGTAAGAATCAAGCTGTTCTCAGGCTCTGACTTGATGTTTTCCTAAAATTGGTCTTCAAGAGCAGAACAGTAGGGGCAATAGTGTAGCCATTGGGGATCAATGATGCCTGGGAGTTGGCTACTTCTCTCACCAGACAGAAGAAGGTGTGGAATAGTGTTGGTTGCAAGGGGAAGATTCAAGCAGTAGCCAGAAGGTCACGTCTGTGAGATAAACATCCCTGTTCTGTGCGTTGCCTGAGACATTCTTTCATCGAAAGTTGATCACTTTGGATGAACAGGGAAAGTATAGTTTTTTTTATATTAGAATGAACTTAATCTCTAGACCCCTCTGCTTTGGAAAGGGCACCAAGAAACGGGCATATGGCCCTGGGGGAGGAACAGTTTTGGGGGAGGCTTCACTCTGGAATGAATATCTTAAAAGGAAACCAGTGGCGACCAGAGGGCAGCACAAGGGACTTAGGACGGTGCTGGTTGTGGGGAAGACAGAAGGAAGGCAGCTTTTCTAGGTACCTTTATGGGGGTCCCATGCTGGTGTCCTGTCTAGATCCCCGCCACGTCAACTTGGTTTCTACCTGCCTACCTTAGCCTCCTACTGCCTGAAGCATCACTTTGGTTTAGATGAACCATCTTGGTGACCACTGACTTGCTCCCTCTGCCCTGAGCATGGATTGGCTCTGGTACAATGGCTCCCTGTGTGAAATATGTACATGTACCCGAGGCTTTTCCCTGACTGGACTCTATGCTTGAGGGTTATTGTTTGTGGGGATGAAGGACAGGAGACCTTAGAGAACCCTCTTGTTCCCTCCGATCTCTACATCCCTTCCAGGATGAAACCTGGCCTGGGACTGAATTTTGGGGCCCCGGCTGTTTGGACTCACACTTTGTAAGAGACTCTCCCTAGTGCCACTTTGATGGGCCAATTGGTGCCGGGGAGCTGACCCCCCTTAAGGCAGGTCTGTGGGCAGGCATCCTCTGGCTCCAAGCTGGGCTGGGCACTGAGGTTGGAAGAGGAAAGGAAAGAAAGGGGCCTTCTTTGCTTCCAGGAAGAAAGTTACCACCAGGCCTGAAAGCCTTTGTAGTTCACAGGGAGAAGGTTTTGGGTGTTGCTTGCTTTCTCTGATGGTACTCAGAGCAGAATTCCCAACAATATGAGGGACATCATTGTGTCAGAACCCAGGGGCTACAGAGACTCAAATGAAAGGACACTGAGAACTCTGGGCATCTCTTGGACTGATGACTTCTCTTCTTTCCTTTTTTAAAATATATTTTTTATTGATTTCAGAGAGGACAGGAGAGGGAGAGAGAGATAGAAACATCAATGATGAGAGAGAATCATTGATGGGCCGCCTCTTGCACACTCCATACTGGGGATCGAGCCCGCAACCCGGGCTTGTGTCCTGACCGGGAATCGAACTGTGACCTCCTGGTTCATTGGTTGACGCTCAACCACTGACCCCCGAGGGCTGGGATCTTAGACTGACGATTTCAACTGAACACTCAAAAATGGTGCAAAGGGGCTCAGAAGCCACAGAAACAAGTTGAAACCATAAAAAAATATGACCAATAGCACAGGAAAGCGGGGCTCACTCGTGTACTAGTGTGCTGACCTTGCGGATTGGTGCCCCACAGTTTGGCGTACACACGATTTGTCTGATCCACATGGGCATATTTAAAACTTAGTGGGCAACATTAAAAATACTGGAAATTTCACTTAAATGTTTGTGTTTCTGGCTTCTCTTGTAAAAATCAGATGGCCTGGTAGCCACCGCCTGGAAGCCATTGCCTGGGAGCGGCAGCTGCCCTCTGCTCTCCAGTGTTCACAGTCCCAGTGCTTCCAGGGCATGCAAACAGGCCCACCTCACCAACTGCATCCTCTAGTGCAGCGGTTCCGTTTCTGGCTTCTCTTGAAAAATCAGACGGCCTGGAAGCCACTGCCTGGGAGCGGCAGCTGCCCTCTGCTCTCCAGTGTTTGTTTCTGGCTTCTCTTGTAAAAATCAGATGGCCTGGTAGCCACCGCCTGGAAGCCATTGCCTGGGAGCGGCAGCTGCCCTCTGCTCTCCAGTGTTCACAGTCCCAGCGCTTCCAGGGCATGCGAACAGGCCCACCTCACCAACTGCATCCTCTAGAGCAGCGGTTCTCAACCTGTGGGTCGCGACCCTTTGGGGGTCAAACGACCCTTTCACAGGGGTCGCTTAAGACCATCGGAAAACACATATATAATTACATTTTGTTTTTGTGATTAATCACTATGCATAACAGTAGCAAAATTACAGTTATGAAGTAGCAACGAAAGTAATTTTATGGTTGGGGGTCACCACAACATGAGGAACTGTATTAAAGGGTCGCGGCATTAGGGAGGTTGAGAACCACTGCTCTGGAGGTTGCCTTTGGAACTCCTGATACAGGGCCACATGGTCGCTGCTGGGGAAGGGCTGGGTGACAAAGTCGACTGAGTGAGCTTGAGGCAACGCTAGTACAAAGGTAGTAGGAGGCAATCGCAAGTCTGATCAGAAGGATTTCTATGGAGAAATGGGGACCGATGCAGAGTCCCGCAGCCGCTGGGGAAGAGGGCAGGGCAGCCAGAGGAGATTGATGGCTTTGTCTTGGAAGCCCTTACATATGGGAAAGGCAGTTCACTGATTGTGCAGCCTGCACTGTGCGACCAGGCATGGGTGCGAGGGGAGGGGCAGAGACTCAGCTCCTGTGGGCATTTTTCCTTTCGCCTGGCCCCCGAGGCCAGCTCGCCTGTTCTCTTTCTTCCTTTGGCACCACCTCAGACGGTCAGATCATCGGACCTGGCCCGGCTGCTGGCTTTGCTCAACCTGCTCAGGGGCCTGGTGTCATCCCCAGCCAGCTCTGCACCAGGGGAAGGTGACTTCTCGGCCGGCAGCCTTGGCTTCGCCACCTTCTCAGCCGGTAGCTCTCCTTCCTCCCCCTCCTTCTCCACCTGGGAGGCCTCGTCCTCCCCCTCCACCGCCGGGGTCTCCTGCCCTTCTGTGCTCACTCTCTCCGCTTCCAGCCTCTCCGTCACCGCTACCCGCTCGGGGTCCGCTCCTTCCTCCCCCGGTTGCTCGTCCC